TGAATTTTTGCAGAATTGCCTTAAAAGATTAGATTCTTGTTCTGATCCATCAGAATGCATGTTTTGACCTCAGAGAGCTCCTTTGTCCACTCAGGGCCTCAGTTTTCCCTTTATAGCACAAGTGGCCCAAAGTTGATGGTCATTCAACCCACACAGTCCCTCATCCTAGAATGAAGTTTCAATGCAGGAGGAACAGGCCAGGCAAAGAGCTGGAAAGTGGTTGAGGATTTGGAGAAGTCTTTGGGGATGGGTGTTGGCACTGCCTCAGGAGAGGGAGCTCCATGCTTGGGTTTCAAAGGAGACCATGGGCTAGTCAGCAGCACTGGCATGGACCATTTCCTGGGCATTGCTCAAACGCCGTAGTGCCTAATGCATGACGAGGGCTCAAAATAGTTCTTAAAAGGATGAAGGCAGAAATCTCCAGGGTAAATCCAGAGATGAGATGATGGACCTGTGTCTCAGCCCCTTCTTCCTGGGAAGGAGGATGAGGTCTGTTGCCATAGTCACTACAGTTCTTTCACGGGTTGGTCTCTCTCACTTCCAACAGGGGAAAGAGGATGTGTCTCACCACCACTGAGTTCTAAACTTGTTTTTAAAAATAAGACCTTCTAATGTGTCCAGAGTGATCGCTTTTAACATGTCAATCCCGTAAAGCAGGTTGGACCACAGGGCATCCCTGAGATGTCTCCTCTGGTGGGGAGCTTTTGTGCTAGTCTTTTGGGATGCTAAGGCACATCTTCAGGAAGGAAGGGTCCCTCAGGTCCCTTCTGAGTTTATCCAGGTCCTGTGCACTCTATGGAGAACTTTGGAAAGGCTTAGAGAAAAGCTGGGGTCTTGGAGGGCCTGTGATTCCTTGGGATGGGGCAGGACGCCTGTGTCCAGCCTTTGAAGACAGAGACTCCCACCACCTCTGGGAGATGGTGAGGGAACAGGGAAGCTTGGTGTGCTGAAGTCCATGGGGTCACAAAGAGCTGGACACGATTCGGTGACTTAACAACAACAACAACCTTCTCACTGAGTGGGGCCCTTGGGCTGGTGGACCTCGCTCATTAGCCTTGAGTTTTAGGGGATGGGAGCTCGTCCCAAGCATCCTAAAACTTTGGCCTGAGGACGGATACCGCCTAAACTTTTCCTTGTTGCTCGGTTTTATCACAGGGAAGAGAGATAGAGCAGTCAGGAGACAGGAGATCCGGGGAGGGTGGCGGAGGTCTTTTCTCTTTGAAGATGATGGCTTCCCTGTTCCCAAAGCACAACGCATGGAACAGTTCTGCTACATCCTGTGTGTGCTCCTTCTGTTGGTGTTGTTCCCTCAAACTACTGGTGACAACAAGGATGAAAGTACTTTGTAAAATTACAACTGTTCTTAAGAGTGCTATTTTAGCTCACTGGCCTCTGGTAGCTCAGACAGTAAAGAATCCGCCTACAATACAGGAGATCTGGGTTCAATTCCTGGGTCAGGAAGATTCCTTGGAGAAGGGAATGGCAATCCACTCCAGTATTCTTGTCTGGAGAATTCCAGGGACTGAGGAGACTGGCGGGCTACAGTCCATGGGGTTGCAAAGAGTCAGATGTGACTGAGCAACTAACACCTTCACTTTCTCTCCCTCCCTGAGTTGCTGTGATAAGGAGATTCCAGTTACTGGGCTTGGCAGGATGGTGTTGCGGGTAAAAGCAGTGCCGGCTGCCTTGCCCTTCCTTGGGTAAACCCACCCCCACCCCATATGTAGACTTCAAGTACCTGAACTGCTTGTCCAAAGGGCTTCTCATTTATACCTGGAACGTATTTGGTTTGGATCTGTCTTTAGGATAAGTAAGTCCTGAGTCCATGCCATGCTATTACTGCTAGTAAGAGAAGAAAATTTTTTCCCCAAATTACTAGGGAACGTAAAACCAAGATGGTCAGAGATGAGCTGAAATTCTGCTACAGATTTATCTGCCCCCTGTGTACTCCACAAAATTAGGTTTCTAGTTTGCTCTTTTCCTTTATTTTATTTACCTATTTATTGGATTGGCCAAAAAGTTCATTTGGATTTTTCCATGGGATGTTATGGAAAAATTCAAACAAACTTTTTGACCAACCCAATATTTTGATTGATAGCCAAATACACACACCCCAAAATAAAAATGAGTAAAGACTTGCTCAACTTGGACAATCTATCAACTTATTAGGAAATAACCAGTCCCTCAGGTATTTTAATTGATGGGATAAAAAAAAATTAGACTCTTTGGGCATCAGGGCCTGGTACCAATCTGACGAGTTTGGGTCGGTTTAGGGCCTGTGATGACAGATGGAAGGGCCTGGAACTGGAGGTAGAGTGGGCTGCTTGCAGGGGAGGAAGGCCAGGCTGTCTGCACTCCATGAGCCTGAGCAGGAGGCCTGTGGGGACCGCTGTGACACAGGTTATAGAGGCAGGGAACACTAAGGCTTGTCAGGGTGTGGGCTGTGTCCTAAGGGGTGGGCGCAGGGAGCTGATTACCAGCATCCAGTGGGGAGAAGGGTAAGATATCACTCCTTTCCCATTTATTAGATGAAAATACGGAGGCTCTGTAAAAAGTCTTCTTGGGAGTCACTGAACAAACACGTAAGCCAGAGAAGACCAATATCCAGACTTCCTATTCCATGTGTATATGTATTAGTCACTCAGTCATGTCCAGCGCTTTGCAATCCCATGGACCACAGCCCCTCAGGCTCCTCTGTCCATGGAATTCTCCAGGCAAGAACACTGCAGTGGGGAGCCATTCCCTTCTCCAGGTCTCATTCCAATAGTCAGATCTTATTCCTGAAACACGGTGAAGTAGGGAATCGACTTTGAGGGTCACTGACCAGGCATCACTGTAGAGTTATGCATGTGAGATGTCTGTGCTCCTGGGGTGGAGTCCAGCATTTTCCTTTCCCTGCTCCAAGTCCTGGCCCTGTCCTGCCCTGATCCGTGCTCGGTTCCGGGGGCAAACTGCTCAAACCGCTTCCCACCCCACCTGGCTGGTCATCCAGCTGCTAGAATGTTCTTTGTCAGCCATGTCTTCACTGCTTCATTCCCAGGCATTGGAAAATAATGCATGTGAAGGTGGCCTGCCCCTCTGGATGGAAAAAACTTCTATTTTTAATCCGAGCAGTCTTTGTGTGGTCCAACCCACTAATCTGAGACACTGAATCTTTTCCACTTTCTTCACTTTATCTGAAATAACCCTGGGGATTTTACTGATCTTCATTTCTATAATCTAGTTTCAGACAGCCCCTGGAGGCTTGGTTCATCACTGGCTGTCTTTAATTTTTACTAAAGAGTGAGTTATTAGGGATGAAAGGTATTTGGAGATCACCTAGGCTCAGAGAGGGGAAGGCGCTTCCTCAGCATCACACATCGGAGTCAGGACTCCTGTCTGCCTGAAAGCCCCAACATTTGAAATAAAACAAAACTTGCATTTGTTAGGATGCTTTTGCCTTGAAGTAACTGACCACATATCTCACACCAGCATCACGGAAAGTCTTGGGGTACAGTGGGCTCCAGATGAGCTTACCCTGGAATCCCCAACCTCAGTTTCTCAGCAGAGCCCTTGTAGGCACCCTCTTTGTGTTCTGGGCTTGTCCTAGAGTCATCCCCTTCATGGGACTAAGGGCTATGGTAGTCCCCAGTGTCTACATCTCCCTGGTCAGGACGTCCAGAGGAAGAGAGAGGACAACAGCACCCCAACAATCCAACAAAGAACCCTGAAATACCCCCTCACTGGATCACTGAAGTCCTCCGTCCCTCTCTGAAAACTAACAAGAGAAACTCTCTATGTGCTGATTGGATTAGGCCCGGCTCAGGCCCCGGTCAGTAGTAGACAAGTGGAAGTTACCCTGCACCATTCAGGGCTACCCTTAGAGCTGGGGTCGGGGTCCTGTCCCTGAGGCGCATGAGCTGCCCGAGGGAAGGGTAGATACCTGGAAAAAAAGTTTTCTTAGGAAGACAGAAAGGAACCATGGGGAGCAAAAGCAAAAGCAAAAATAGAATTTTCAGACACAGGGCCCCAAGCTTCCTGAAGACTCATGTCTGCTGTGAGGATGGCTGTATCCACAGGACCTGGGCCTAGAGGGCTTGAGGGCGTGAAGAAAGTGAGGACATGGGGCTCTCCTAGGTGCAGGCCTTGTGCTGCTCATCATTTATTCTCTCTTTCCGTCAACTGAAAGGAGCCTAATTGGTGCACGTCCCTGGGGCTGGTGATGCTGTGAGAGCTGGCTGCTACCAGCTCACAGCTCCCCTCTCCTCTCGAGGAAACTTCAGCTCTGGTTGTAAGGGAAAACAAACTAAATCAAGCCATCCAGCTCTAAAAGGGTTATTTATTGGCTCTTATAACTTGGAAAAATGGAACTGGGTGAGCTTCAGGTAAAGTTCAATCCAGGAACTTCAAAGATGTCACCAAATACATATTCTTCTTTCTCTCCTTCCATCTCTCTCTCTGTCTCTCTCTCACCTTTCCTTCTGTATGTGGATGTCATGTTCACCTTCAGGTCCCAGGCTTTCACATTAAGCCAGTTACCCCAGAGTTAGAATGGACTTTGCATTCTCAAAGAAAGACACTGATTGATCCTATTTTTGTCAACTTCTCATTCCTTAAGTACTCAGGGTGGCAGGGGGATGGAGTATTATGATGACTTAGCTTGGGTCAGATGTCCACACCATGGATTATTCTTACTGTGATCCAGTGTAGAGAAGGAAGCAGTTCCTTAAAGGAACTGAGATCTTGTTACTATAAAACAGGGCAAGAGGTAAACAAGAGCTATCCTCTACACTCAGACTTCTCATTCATGTAGTCATTTCTAGTCTCCGAGGTGATTGCAAAGGCTAGATGCTGTAATGAATGTCACAGCATTTATGAACTGCTATGCACAGTACACGCTGGTCACAGTATCACTTCTTTCATTGGTCTTCCTTGTGGACAAGACAGGGGTAATGGAGTTCTTTTGTTCTCGTTTCTGTTAACCTCGGGTCTACTACTCAACAGGACAATCTCCAGCAAAAATGAACCCCTTGCTGGGCCTGAGCCTGCTTCTGGCTGGCCTCCTTACTGTGGAAGGTCTTCTGAAGCCGAACTTCTCTCCAAAGAATCGTGAAGCTGTGAGTCAGGGCCAAGGAGGGAAGGGAAAGGGGACAGCTCAGGAGCTTGCAAAGCGCAACACAGACTTTGGACTCAAGCTGTTTAAGAAACTGTCTTTCCACACCCCTGACAATAACATCATCTTCTCCCCCTGGAGCATCTCTATGGCCTTCTCCATGCTATCTCTGGGGGCCCAGGACTCCACCCTGGCTGAGATCAAGGAGGGCTTCAACTTCAGGAGCATCCCTGAGAAAGACATCCATGAAGGCTTCCATTACCTCATCCGCAGCCTGAATCAGAGGAACCAGGACCACAGGCTGGGACTCGGGAATGCCTTGTTTATTGACCAGAAGGTAAAGCCCCAGCAGAAGTTTCTGACAGAAGTCAAGAACATGTATGAGGCAGACATCATCCCCACCAACTTCCAGAACCCAGAAAATGTTCAGAAGCAGATCAATAACTATGTCAGTCAGAAAACCCAGGGGAAAATCGACAACCTAGTCAAGAACATAGACCCTGGCACTGTGATGCTTCTTATCAACTATATTTTCTTTCGAGGTAAGGCTTAGGGTATGTTGGCATGCAGACTTGAGTCAAATTCATGGGTTGTCCACTTACTTGCTCTGTGACCCTGAATTCACATGTAATTGCTCTCTTTGAATCCTACTTCTCCTGTCTGAAAAAGGAGTACCTTGATACATAGCTCATAGGGTGGTTATTGGGATTCAAAGTGGAAATGTATGATAAATGAATGTTTTGAAGTCTATTCCCCATGTGTGCGTTTTTTGTTTTTTTTTTCATTTATTTTTATTAGTTGGAGGCTAATTACTTTACATCATTGCAGTGGTTTTTGTCATACATTGAAATGAATTAGCCATGGATTTACATGTATTCCCCATCCCGGTCCCCCCTCCCACCTCCCTCTCCACCCGATCCCTCTGGGTCTTCCCAGTCATGTGTGCGTTTTTATAATTACTGATTATCCTAACACAACATTGGTTGTAGAGGTTGAAGGGTCATCATTTTCCACATTTAGATCAGGAAAGTGAAATTCAGAGAGAGATTAATTAATTTACTCAAAGCTACAAAGCCAGCCAGTGACAGTCAGGAGTTACATCCACTTCTCTTGACCTAATGGCTGTGCTTTCCATCACTCCAAGTAGATGCCCAGGATGATGACCATGTTGATGGTCAGGTTGTGATCACTGTGACCATGATCACATTGGTAGGTGCCTTGGTTTTCCCACCACATGTTATAGACTCCCCAAGTCTGAGGGTGAGGTATTGAAAAAAAAGATGAAAGTATATTCCCTAATTCAAGCTGCATCCACCACACTATACACACCCACTCACACCACACACACACAAAAATGTTGGCCAACATAGGTGAGAATAAGAAGCCAGCATCCCTCGGACCAGGCAAGGCTGCTGGGCTGTCAGCAATATGGTCCTGAATATGGAAGTTCGGTTCTCCCAAAATCCACAAGGAGATTGATGGTTATAGGGGAAAACAAGAGTGATAGTGGTAGACTGTCCAAAGCAGGGAAGAAAGGAAAATTAGGAATTTCCCAAAGCCCCTACATCCTCTAGATTGCAGCAAGAACCATAGCAACAGTGATGTAATGATGCCTAGCATCCACTCAACACTTGCTATGCAGTCAGTAAGCTGTGTTGCCTTTCCCCACTAAGTCTCACAGCAGCCCTGTGAGATTCCCGTCAATATCCTCAGTTGGCAAATAAGGACACTGAAGCCCAGGGAGGTTGAGACGCTTGACCAAGGTTTTCCTTCTAGAGCAATAAAGCCAGACATTTGAGCTTGGGAACTTGGTCCTAAAGGCCTTATATTGGGGGCTCTGAGGGTAGCACGTGTGAAAAGACCCAGGTCTGAGTTTATGTCATCAGAGAGTTCTCAGGGTCAAACAGAGAGAATCAAAATGCCCAGTTTTAAGTGTTCACTGGTCTTCAGCATGCTCCCCAGGGCCGCCTGTTAGTTTAGTTTTCTTAGCCTTACATGAGCGTGGCTTCTCCAGGGCTAACTTGGAATAGACATGAGATTTTTCACTCAGACCCAAATAGCCCCCACTGAGTGTGATCCAGGGTCTGCTTCTGTAACAGAATCCACAGGCTTTCTCAGCCTCAGGAGCCTTGAAGCTTGGGGAAATCTGAAGTTCTTCTCTTAGTCAGCAGCCCTTGTCTTGGCTTCACTGGGATAAAAGATAACTGGAACCAAGCTCACGTTACCTGAAGTGTTCAGGGCATGGCATGAGGTCAAGGATTCCCGTGCACCTGATCTGATACACCAGAGCAACCATATTCCTTCTTTAGGTCCTTGGGGGCAGAGACCCAATGGTTAACTGGATCCAGTAGCACTTTCTGCTTATGTCACTTTGTTCTTCTTCAATCTTAAGCCAGGTGGCAACATGAGTTTGACCCAAAGGAAACAAAAGAGGACGATTTCCTTCTGGACAGAAACAAGACCGTGAAGGTGCCCATGATGTTCCATGTGGGCATGTATAAAGTGGGGCGTGATGACCAGCTGTCCTGCACTGTCCTGGAAATGCCCTACCAGAGCAACTTCACGGCCATCTTTGTTCTTCCTGATGAGGGCAAAATGAAGCAAGTGGAGGAAGCCCTGGGGCTGGACACTTTTGACAGATGGCAAAAGTTACTCGTACGAAGGTAAAGAGGGTGCCTGACATATGCAGTGTCTTCCATCTTCCTCCCTCTCCTCCCGCTCCTTCTTTCTCAGACTTATTGAGCTCTTACCCCATGGATAAGGCCATTCTGGGCTCCACGATGAATTTATCTTTTGGTAGGAAGTACGCTAGAAAACAGGTCATAGAAATGTAGACGCTTAAACATTGTGAGAGTGCAGAGGATGAAGCAAACTTGGTGGGCAGTGGTGGTCAGGGAGGGCTTCATGGAGGAGGTGGCATTGGTGCCACGTCTTCGAGGCTGAATAGCAGTACACATGGACGGATGAGGGATAAGGAGTGACAGAATCCCAGGCAGAGGGAAACTGTGAGGACAAACACTTGGGGTGTCAAAGGGAGCTGTGAGTTGTACATTGTACATAGGATGTTTTCAATTGTGGTGTCATAATGAAACCAGTGAAGTGTGAGCCAAATAAGTTGTATTAATAATAGTTGAGGGACTGAAGTCACTAAATACTTTTCTTTTCAAATATAAAATTAGAACAGATTTAAGGTAAGCCTCCAGAATCTCACCCAGGCACTTGCCTACTGACAGCTTTTCTTGGGAAGGATGAGGTCTAGAATTAAGAACTGGGGACTTGTTGTCAGTGTAGACCTGCAAGGTGCCTCGAAAGCTTCTGGGCTAGGCCAGGCAGCCGGGAGATGTGGTGATATTACCAAAAGTGGAGGCCTTGCTGCTCACTCCTCAAAAGCCAGTAAAGATGCAAATTGATGGAAAGGAAAGTTTGCTTTACTTTGGATGCCAGCAGTGGGGCAGGGAATGAGAGTAAGGGCAGACTGCTGTCCAAAGGCCGATTGACAGTCCACGACCAAGAGCTTTTATAGAAGGAGGGAGGGGCCTCCATGCAGAAACAGCACAGTCACCTCTGGCAGTCATGTTGAAATTGGTCATCAGTGGTCTGATCATCATCCTGATTGTTTTAAGTACAGTCTTTAGTTCCAGGGTTGGTTTGTTCCCTTTCCTTTGAGGCCAGTTCTCGGAACTGTGACAACTTATGTCATGGCTATAGTCTGATCATCATGTAGTTAACTTCTTCTACCTGGTAGGAGTGTCAGTATCTACAAGACAGCTCAAAGGATATGGTTCAGGATATTAACTGAACCCTTGAGGAGGAACTAAAAGTCCTTGACCTGGCTTAGTGATTAAACTATTGTTATTTGGTCTCATTTGACTGCCTTCCTTTGTTTCTGCATTTTCTCACTCCTCTGATTAAAATTACTCTTTGGCTAAAGTTTCCCCGCAGACAAAAAGCAGGTGGAGGACATGCAGGGAAGAGACCATAGGGTCCTGCTGTATTTCAGGGGGTCTATGAGATCGAAAAGGAAGCTTCCACTTTGGTAGAAACAATGTCAGGATATCCTTCTCCTTGGTCCTTTTGTTCTCTCTTCCACCTTGACTCCACCATGATTCTCCATCCAAAAGGCCTTTACTGAAAACCTCTGCCATGCCCAACATGCTGTCAGGAGTGGAGGAGGGTTCTAAGAGAGGCAGAGACGATGTTAGGACTGAGCTGGGCTGTCCATGAATGATAACTGAACCAACAGAGTTTCCTTCACATGGGAACAGACCTTTGGAAAAATTGAAGAATGCATCTCAGATACCCAGATTTAGCTGCAAGCTCATGGGAGAGAAATTCTATTTCTGAATGATAAAGCCTAATTCTACTACGACTCCCCCTTTCTTTCAGAAAAAAAATTAATGACCACAGAAAAAAATAACTTGCCAGACTCCTTTGCCCCCTTGAAAGCTTGCTCAGACTTTCCCTTTTCTCCAGCATTCCTGATCCCCAAGTCAATCTGTACTTTTTTTCCCATGGCACTTACTGAGACTACCAGTCCATGTATCTACTCTTTTGTCTGCCTTTTGTTGTGATGGTTTTATTGTCTTTCTTCCCTAGTAGAGCACAGGTTCAAGAGCATGGATTTTTGCCTGCTCTAGATGCACCTAAGCATGTAGGACAGAGCCTGGTATACAGTAGGCAGTAAATAAGCTTGTGTCAAATGAACGGATAAGTGGAAAGGTAAGTCTGAGAGTCATTGGGCCTATCGTTGGTGTTAAAATCCAAGGCGCAGAATGAAATCCCCCAAGAGGGAAATAACGATAGAAAAGAGGATGGGGAGAAAAAAGAAAGGAGGACCCAGCGGGAGGCAGACTGGGAGCACTACCATGATGAGAGATGAGTGAGCAGGTGGAGCCAGCGAAGGATGAGAGAAGGAGCACCCAGGGATGGAGGGGAGAGCAGAGGGCATGGATCCGGGTGGGAACGCCTCCAAAGGGATCGACTGTGAGCTGCCACTTCCTGACTTTTGGCCACTGGCTCTAACAAGCCAAGGTCAGTGGCTGCTCTGGAAAATGGTTTGAGCCGATAATGGAAGTGGGCTCCCTAGAGGCTCAGTGGTAAAGAATCTGCCAGCCAACACAGGAGCCAGGGATTCGATCCCTGGGTCGAGAAGATCTCCTAGAGAAGGAAATGGCCACCCGCTCCAGTATTCTTGCCTGGGAAATCCCGCAGACAGAGGAACCTGGTGGGCTACAGTCCATGGGGTCGCAAAAGAATTGGACACAACTTAGTAACTGAGCGACAACGGCAAGGAACAATGGGAGGATGTGTGTTTTTTTTTTTTCTCTCTGCTCTGAAAGAAAGACGTGGGCTGGAAGCTGGAGACGTGACTAGAAGCCAAGGGAATTGTTTTTGCTTTTGAATTGAGGATGAGGGTTGTTACAGCCTGCGGTCTGCCCCGAGGGCGGTCCAGTAGAAGCCATTTATGGACTGTGCAGGAAGAAAAGGAAACACAGGCGGGAATGAAGTCCTTGGAGAGACAGAGAGAAATGGCTTCAATGGCCCCGTGGACAGGAATACAGTGCCACAGATGCCTCAGCACGGCCGACCCCAGGGCAGGGACGCCAACCCAGGTCCCGAGCGCAGAGCATCTGAGGCGGCTCACTCAAGGCTGAGAGGATGAACACTTGCCTCCTCACTGACTGCTGAGCCTTCGATGCATGCATTTTAGCCCCCTTCCGGTCCGTGGCTGCCATGGTCACCATCCTCATTTTCATACAAATGGCTTAGAGAGGAGAGGTCTTTTGATCCAGAGCTCCTGGAAGGCAGAGTAGATCTGAACTCAGTTCTGCCAGCTTCCCATCTCAGGGCCTTGCTACCTCTAGCATGAGATGGCTGGAGTTGGGATCAGCTCAGCACGTGGGTGTGGCTGAGGCTATAGTGGAGAGACCCTCCATGGCTCTGCTGAAGGGGTCCTGAGACAGAGGGGCTCGGGGACATTGCTGTGGATGAGGGCTAGGGCAGTTTGATAGAAAAATAAGAATGCAAGTCAGAGAGCCTGGATGTTTTAACACCCCATTCCAGGAGTCTTCTTTGGTGGTCCCGTGGTTAAGGCTGAGCTCCTGATGTAGGAGATCCTGATTCTATTCCATGTCAGGGAAGTAGGTCCCACCTGGCATAACTAAAAAAAAATTTTTTAAGTCCAGGCTTAAGGAGTCTCTCTTTATTCTGTGGATAGAGAGAAGTTCTGAGACCTCAGGGGCTGGGAGGACAGATGCCTCATCACCATCAATCCTAAAGCCTGCCTGGAAAATGGCAGGGCCCCGCTGTTCACCTTTGTCACTTTCTCCTCCCTAGGGTCGCAGATGTGTTTGTGCCCAGATTGACCATCACCAGTAACTCCGACCTGAAGAAGATGCTTTCCTACCTGGGCATCAGCAAAATCTTTGAGGAACACAGTGATCTCACCAGGATCTCCCCTCATCGAAACCTGAAAGTGGGTGAGGTAAGCCTGCCTGGCCGGGTCTCTGCCCACCTCCAGCTCAGGGAGCCTTCGTACAGCCCCGGGCCAGACACACTATCACAGCAGCTGTGATGAGCCAAGAGTTGCCCCACCAGTCAGGCCAAGCCCAACTGCCCCGAACCGCCTATGGTCCTGGGCAAATCAAGTACCCTCCCAAGCCTCATGTTTCCAGTCTTCAAAATCGGACCTGTCCATCTCCTGGTCCTACTTTGGAAGTTGATTCAATGCAACAGTGGATGGAGGCTTGGAGCAGTCATCAGGTCTAGGAGTGACCGAGGCTTGGGAGGAGTAAGTTGTGAACATTTTTCTACATAATGTAGAGATAAGCAAGCTGAGGACCCCTTGGTCTCCAGCAAGGCTGAGCATTTGCCTGCTGGTGACAGTCAGAAGGACCACATGGGGAAGTGCCCAGATGTAGCAGACAGACTATAATACACCAGGGACTGCCCCAGTGGTCCAGTGGTCAAGATTTCGCCTTACAGTGCAGGGGGTTAGGGTTCAGTCCCTGATCGGGAGATCTAAGATCCCACATGCCTCATGACCCCGAAAACCAAAACATAGAACAGAAGCAATGTTGTAACAAATTCAGTAAAGACTTTAAAAATGGTCCACGTTAAAAAAAAAAAAATCTTAAACACAGGACATCAGCGAAATTCAAATTTCATATAAGTGATGAATGAATGTTTTTTGTATAGCCTAAATATTGCATGGGATATACTTATGCTGAAAATTTCATCATTTATCTGAAATTCAATTTTAACTGGAAACTCAAGTTTATCCGTACTTTATCTGGCAATCCTACTTTTAGGTTCAAAGGGTATTGAGATCAGGGAAGATTTCAGCAAGCAGAGACAGGTGGGAGGAAGATCTTCCAGGAGGAAAGCACCCCAGCCTGAGGCTGGTAGGTGAGGAGGTGTGGAGTCTAGGGGGTGGAGTTGACAGCTGTGATTCTACGTGTAAACATCAACTATTGACTTGCCAGTAAAATCACTAGCATTCTGTAGAACAGAGTCAGATGGCACTAGTGGTAAAGAACCCACCTGCCAACACAGGAGATGTAAGAGACTCGGGTTCTATTCCTGAGTTAGGAAGATCCCCTGGAGGAGGGCATGGCAACCCACTCCAATGTTCTTACCTGGAACATTCCATGGACAGAGGAGC